AAATTATAAGTAAATGAATACTGCACAAAAACATGATATGCATCTTCTACCCCTTTCCCACAAAAAACGAAAAAACCGTTATTGCCATTCATGTTTGTCACGCCCCAAAACCCAATTTCGAGACGCGACAGACGCCGTGCACTCGTGAGACGAGTCCCACAAATGCACAAGGCTCGGAACTTATCATACTGTACTCTGATACCACCAAAATCTGAAGATCAAATTATAAGATTTCTCATATCATAAATCTCCAAATACACTCTAGCTTACAGAATCATAATCTGTATCTAAAATCTATATCAAATTCCAGGTGACTAGCCTTCTAACTCGTCACTCCACTCGGTTTCCCCCGTCCTCAGTATCACTTCCTGAAATGGTGGACAAGGAAAACTATGAGATAACTCAGTAAGTAATTATGGATAACCCTTGGGTAAAACTTTTAAGCACGCCAGATAAACAGTTTAATATAACCAAAACGCTCAGTGACAAAATCAGATTCAGTTTAATTGCAAAACATTCAATGACAACTCGTCAATGCAAAATTCAGATTCAGTTCAATAACAAAACGTTTCATGACAAACCGTCAATGCAGAAGAAAACTCAGTTCAATAGTCTCATCTATAAGTCATGGCCAGCGTTTATAAACCTCCCACTGGCGGGCACAGTAGTTGCCAATGTTTAACCCCATAGGCAAGGTTACAGAAGTGCCAGTGTTTAACAACTCCCACTGGCAGACGTCAGTAATGGTGCCAGTGTTTACAACTCCCACTAGCAGGCGACAGTAATTACCAAGGTTTAACCCCATTGGTAGGGTGAACCGGTTCTATCAGTAAACATGTCGACATGTGCTAGCGTTTATAAACCTCCCACTAGCGGGCACAGTAATCAGTAATCATGACTATATCCGAGACAAAACCATGCAGAGTTTACAGAAAACCCGAATTTCACAATCAATCCCAAATTTCAGAACAAACCGGAAAATTTCCATGTGGGCATGGATTTATCAGAAAACTCAAAATTTGTAAATTCTCAGTTCATCAAAATAGTTCAGTCAATTCCAAATAGGCATGCTCTACTCAATACCAATGAAAACAGTTTCATTTCAAACCAATCATGCTCGGTGCAATAACTCCAGAAAAACAATGAAATTCTCACTTTTCATTTCAATCATGCTCAATTCCAGAAAAACAGTGAAATTCTCATAAAAACCGTCACAATTTCCATTTCAGTTTAATCACATTCAGATGCTGATAAAATCAATTTAAAATCACTTTAAACCTTGCCACCATCTCAAAAACAGTTTAAAACATGCTTTAAAATCGAAGGGCTTTACCACAATTTACTTACCTCACTCGCATAGAACTGAAGGCTAACCCAAGTGCTACGGTGACAGAACGATCAAAACCGGAATTTAACAAGCAAAACCGGAGCTAGCAGGGAGAAGAAGTCGACGGCAAGTGCAGGGGGGGGAGCTCACGGAATTAACCCAAATTCAAGAACCAAAACAGAGATTAGAGTAACCCAAGCCAAATCAAAGCTAAAGAGATGATTTTCATGGCTGTGGCTTACCCGAAAAATGCCCAGAATTCAAACCCACAAGCTGAAGCCGACGAACAACAGAAGGGGGAAAAGACGCAGAGCAGATCTGGAATTTCCAGCAAAAAAGGGAGGAGTTTCTGGGTTCAAGAACAAGAAAAGAAGGAGAAATTCATCAAGATCTCACCGGGTTTTTCAAGGGGGAGAGAGTCGGTGGCTTTGGGGGCTTGTCAGGAGGAAGAATCGAGAAGAAGAACAGAGCAGACACGCGGCTGATGAGGAAGAAAAGAAAGAAAAAGAAAAGAAAAAGCAGTTCATCCTTATCCTAATTTTCTTTCTTTTAAGTCCCTCAACTTTTAAAATTTTACGATTAAACCCCAAAACAATATTTTTCCTCAAATAAGTCCCCAATTTAATGCTAAAATACCCCCAAATTTTGGGGTATTACAATGTTAATCCCACTTGAACTCAAATTGGCAACCTGTTCAGAAACAATCTCCAAGCAAAAAAACTCACCTTTCCAATAAAAAATTTATTCCAAATTGCTTTGCATAAAATAGGAAACTAAGATAAATACATTCAAAATAAAAAAATGAAAAAAATATGGTCAGAAAACCTAGATTTGGGTTCCTGGTGGGTTCCAGGGGAAACCAGTTCTGGGTTCCCCGCCAAGAACCCAAATTTGGGTTCCATGCAAGAACCCAGAACTGGGTTCCAAGCCAAGAACCCAAATTTGGGTTCTGCGCAAGAACCCAGAAACTAGGTTCTCTGCGAGGAACCCATTGAGAAGAGGATGGTGAAGATGATGCCGAGGATGAGGGGGAAAGAAAATGATGAAGAAATGCTACATCATAAAAAAAAATAAATAAAAAGTCCAGGTGACATATTTATGTTACTGTTTGGTTCCACACGTAATATAATTTTCTGTTGGTTTTATTATACACATGGCGTCCACGTGTGCAAAAAATAAGCCACATCATCAACAAAAGGGATCCACATTGGATTATAAACGCCACATAATGTCACGTCAATTTTTGGGTGCCACATAATGCATTTTTTAATAGTTTCCTGACGGCACATTAAAATATTGAGTTTTTTTACGGGTTTTAAAAAGTTAAGGGTGTGAATAGGGAGGAAAAATTTTGGAAGGTGTTAACCACAAAAAAGAATTAAATGGAGGGTGCAAATAGGGGCTTTGGCCTTTGGATTTTGGGTTTGGATAATTGTGGATTTTGGATTTTGGGTTTGAGGAATTTCAATGCATTTCACCCTTCCAACTTCCTGTTTCTTCGATTTAGTCCCTAGTCTTCCAACTTCTTTTCCAATCCTCTTCACAAAATCCCCCTTTTCGCCGCGAACCTAACAAGGAAAGCAAAGCAAAGGCAAAATATGTTAGCTAACATAAAAATAAAAATAAAAATAAAATTTTATTAAAAATTTGAGTTATGATAGTTGCCCCTTTTTCCTTTTTTTTTTTTTCTGTTCAGAATGAAAAGAAAAAACAAGAATAACTCAAATTTTTTAACTCTTTTTTTTTCTTTTGTTTTTTTTTGTTTGTTTTTTGTTTTCTTTTTTGTTTTTTTTTTTTTTGCAACTAAACAAGTAAAGTAAAACGGGTTGAATGACTGACAAAGTAAAGTAAAACGGGTTGAATGACTGACAAAGTAAAGTAAAAGCAGTTAAGAAACTGCAACGATCAAATTTATCAAAGGAATGAGATAAAATGGTTAAGAAATCACAACAATCAGATTAACCAAATGAATGAAAAAAAATGGTTAAGAAACCACACCGATTGTATTAATCGAACAAATGAGATAAAATGATTAAGAAACTGTAACGATCGGATTAACCGAACAAATAAGATAAAACAGCTAAGAAACCGTAACAATCATATTAATCAAATAAATGAGATAAAACGGTTAAGAAACCGCAACGATTGGATTAACTGAACGAATTAGATAAAATGGTTAAGAAACCGCAACAATCAGATTAACCGAACGAATGACATAAAAATGGTTTTATAAC